AATAAAATCGCTCTGTTCAAAGGTGACCTCATCGCTGTGCTACAACACGTTCGCCTTTCAGAAAACCGTATCAGATAATCAGGAAATGTTTCAAAGGTGTAGTAGGCAAGCCGTTAAGGAGTAGTTCCACATGGACGATGTATTTATAAGAGTGAATGTTGGAGAATAATCCAAATGAACATATTCATAAAGCCTAGGAGCAGTAAACCTAAGTAAATTGTCAAGTAACAGTGTTTAAGTGATGAATTTAGTTCTGGAAAAAGACCTCATTGAGATTAACACTACCGTGAGTGAGTCCGATCAAAGGAGTAAACGAGCCGTATGAATATAGTGTAGTGTCTGAACGGATGAGTTATGTTTTGAAGTCCATACATCTCATATAAATCTGACCAAAAGAAATATTTCGTCGTATGTAGTACCTATCTTTAACTTGTTTGAGCTTAGAGCTTCAATGAAACTTCCTGCCACACTGTACTTAAATGATGCTTGTCGTCAGAAACTAGACTGGGATGCAGAGTTATCCGTGGATCATTTACACACACAGAGACGTTTAACATAATAATTTGAACCAATATTTGCTCAGAGTCATTGTTTATCTGGTGCTTCCTAGCTTGCTTGTGATATTGTAACACATACTCAATGCGAAAGTGTTTCTTGTTAAATTTGCTGCGCAATTCTGCTGGCCAAGTCTATAATCGTTCCCCTGAAACTTGCAGCTCTACCTATTATTGAACCGACGGTCTGCATGCTATGTGTTCAGATTGAAAAGCATGTGGAAGAACTGTTAAATATCTACATTCTTTCGGTTATTTACTAAATGGATTCGTTAATCTCGCCTTCTCGAATGAAATATACAACTGAAAAGTTTGAACGGTTTGCGAGTAGTAGCTTAGCGACCACACATGTGTTGTCCATACCAAAACCAGTAGAGATACGTGAAGAGTAAACTGGACCTGGCAGATTAAATATCGCGTAGATTACTAACAAATGATAGGACTAACATAAGAGGCATTACAATGGCCGAGATTCCCGTTTGAAGAGGATGATAAATGGCCCACCCCTGAAAGAAATGAGAACACAGTGACCCGCGTATCAACAGAAGGGTTCGAACAACAAATTTCTAGGTCTATTTCATGCACGTGACTCGTAGTTCAGATCATTGAAAGTGTTTTATAGTGAATACGGCCTGTAGATAATGCGTTAGATGACCTAGGTATACCGAGTATTGAGGATATCTATAAATCAAGGAAAAACGTGATAACTCCAGTTCACACTGCCTCACTTTCTGGCGAAAAGAGAATATTAAATAATTCATCAGTCATACCACGGGGGCAATTTTTCTAGACAGCAAGGAGGTTCAGAAGAGAGACATGAGACGGTCAGAGGAAAACTTCGATTCGTTAAAGTTCGATTGAGTATCTCGACACGAAAAGGTAGGCATCTAGAATTATCGTGTCTACTCTTCGAAACTAAATATCTGATTATATTTCCCAATAACAATTTTGCTACGAATATGGTCATGAAGCACCATCATTTGCTTCACGTGAGTGTCATAGTTACACAAACATTAATTAATTTCTTTAGAGAAACATAGTGTTAAAAGCCTCTCTAACTCCTAAAGAGTTTTGAAGTGATGCTGTCTATGTAACGGATCTTATTATATGCCACGCTCCCAAATAACGACGTCGTTACCAGAATACCTGAGAAGAGGACCACTCATCAACTTTCTAAATGACAGTATCGGGAGTGATCAGTAAACGAGATCACCAATGGCGGCACTACCCTGACTCCTTTTGACTTTATATAACTGTCTATTCACCAGTCACAATCTTACATGGTTGTCGTAAACGATATTAAGATTTGTTTACTCATTTCCCTATCCTTCAGTTACTTGCCGGTATGTTATTGATGTCACTCCTTATCAATGTCTAACAAACTGTATTAGTCGTCTTTCGTACATCGATGGTGTTGACTCACGTCTTAGAAACAGATGAAGTTTATCAAGCCAAATATCTTGCTTGCTCTGGCTTCGACTAAGGTAAGAATTTGTTCAACAGTCTGTAGATTAGTTCTAATTTGTGTCTTTGGGCAACTGCATCCCTTAAGTAATGACCTTTTATTATTAAGCAGCTAGCCAGACGTACGATATTCCATGCTTTCAATGTCTCAGCCATGATTTCACAACGAACGCAAAACTGAATAAACTATGCTGACACCGAGAAAAAGTATGGAGAGTGTCCGTATTTAAAACAACCCAGAGAATAGGAAGTTGAAGCAGGATAAGCAAACATTCTTAGACCTGTCTCGAAATAGCTGTAATTTTTATGTTACATGTACATAGTAGCAAGCACTACAAATAAGCGAAAAATATCATAGCTGGGAATTTATTTTTCAAGAGCATCACTTATGTGTCATTATTTGAAACTATTATATGAGACATCTCTCGGTATATCGCATTGCCGAAATAATATTCAATAGGTAAATGACCGCTCTACTGGGATGCAAGATATATTTTGAAAACACGTTTTAACCACAGAATATCGAACCAGATAGTTCATCAAAACTAATCACGTTCTTCGACATACATCGTTTTATATTACTTGTTTAAAGTAAATAGAATTAAAGGTAAAAATCAATTTTAAAAATAGAATAAGATTAGTGCGTTTAGCAAGCAAATATTATGTATGACCATGTATTCTAAATTCGGCATTAAGTTGTGCGGACTTAAAATCTGTCTAACAAACGCTATATTCTACCATCCAATAAATGTATTTCCATCTAAGATATGTATATATGTTCGTTCTACTCGAATGACTAGCGATCAAATTTTTTGTTAGCGATAAATGTTTGCGATAAACTGGAGATATTATTTCTGTCTTTCAGGTGTAATCAAATCTACCAGTCAAATAGTATCAATCAAGAATACAAACACCTAATATGAAAACCACTCATATCCGGTAATCAAGTAAACAAAATTAGGCCAGTCGGAAAGGGGCTAAATAGTAACAAGGAGAGGACTAAAAACTAAAATATCGAGTGAAGTGAGTGTCGCTACTTTCACTCAATATAATGAATATACAAGGAAAAATGCAATGAAAATGTTAACTCGGCCTATGATAATAAATAAGGCTTCACCCTCATACAAAAGTTATACAATGTGGGATTTTTACGCGCCTTCATAAAACAACATGCATGAAAGTTCTTTCAGCTATTCTAGAACTTGCTGAGTTAGAGCCCTCTAAAAGGTCACTTACTAAAAGAGACTAGCTCTTCAGAGAGAAAATAGTTATTAATTGAGTCTCCAGTAAGAGGACATATTACACGTAAAGAATTTAACTTACTATAAATCAGTTGTAAATATGATTATTTTTACCAATTCTGTCCGGACTTTGAACTGTATGTTCATAATCTTCGACTTCTGATTTCAGTCATGCTTTTTGACGTTTTTCATTTTCTCCTTGAAAACCTGAAAATTAGATAAATGTTGCAACTATTACTTAGAACTGCAAATTGATAACTCGCAAATAAAGAGTAAAATACGACCATGTGGAGTTGCACTTTTCGCTTACTTGTTGTTTGGGTAAACGTCTGGAGTTTATCAGTCAACCTTCCTTTGAGAAAGAACCAAAATAAAAATTTTGAATTTAATATTAATTGCAAAATCTGGGCTTAATTTAACAGTAGAAAAAACGCTTGGAAGCGGCTATCAGTTTTGGTTCAACTAATGCAATACGAGTCTACCAGAATCTGTGAATCCCAATTATATTAAGAAACTGGTTAACTGGCGCATCAATTTAATTCATCAACGTTGAATATATGTAACTCCTAATAAACGTTTACTGGTTGTCGCTAAGTTATTGTACTTTACCATTGGCGCATGATTTACAAACCACGAGTCCATTTAACAGGATCAAGAAAATACAGCGATGGCGAATAAATCCTTAAAACAAAGAACTATGAGAGTCTTCAAAACTGATGGTGACATCATTGGTTCTTCGTGATAACTCTCAGCCGGAGACTCCCTAACGAACATTCGTACTAAAATGCATTTGTGTACTCCATGACCAGATAAAATAAGGTAACTAGTCATTCAGTTTGAATACAAATTCATATCACCACATTCCCGACTTCTGGTTTTATTAACTTTGAGATCATAGTGTGTAAAAAGAGTTCTCATAATAGTGTTATCAGACTCTTAATACCCGTAGTCTCATCATCCTTTGATAAATCATGTTACTGTAAAAATGTTGAAAAACGCAGTCAAATGCTGTTTTAGATCTTAGAAACAAATACAAATTAAGATTTGTGAGAACGACATGTTTAACTAGCTAAGTAATCTACTTCCGCAGTAAAATGACTGGAGAAATGGTGTCCATAGGTCATAGGTTCAAGAAGAGCATGAATTTACACAAGAACAAATTAAGATGGATCTAACACGCATTCGTGACCTTATAGCCTAAAAAATATCCAAAAATTCCCTAGCTAAAGTGAAAAAAACATATATGAATTCAAACATTAGAAAAATTCAAAAATAAAAATTACTCGTCATTAAGATAGATTCAATTTAGTGACCAAACAAATCTCATTGTAAGCACTCGGAAGTATGTAATCGCTATCTCATATAAATAAGTAAGATCCTAATAATTCAAGGGGTAAAAGTAATCTCAAGGATTTTGAATATTGAGCTTTGGCCTTCACTTCTCTGGCTAACTATTCAAATAAACTGTATTTAGAGGACTTCATTGTTTGAAGTAAATAAATGTCAGTTACTGTCATTATTAAAAATAGATGGATCATAAATTCTCGCTAAACTCTTTGTTCATTTCGAACTTTATATTAATTTGAGTTGTTGACGATATCTTCGGCATTAGCTACTTATTTTCTAATACCATACGTGCACATACAAATTCGATATCAGTTGGGCGTTTTTGATACAAGAGTCTTATTTTCACATTTCTTCCTGATTCTTAAGCTCGAGGTAGATATATTAATTCTTCTGAATGCCAGATCTTCCTTTTTGTATAAACCACTGTTCCGGTTGTCTTGCATTGACGTGCGATGCTGTTGAATGTTTCGTTACTGACTGTCCGAACAGTTGTGGGATGCGTATGCATTCGTGCAAGGTTGATGACCACTTGGATCAAATATGTCCCAAGACCATAGTCCCATGTATTAACAAAGAAGTCGGTTGTCCACACCTATTATGTCGCGAGGACAAGTCATTTCATTTACTCAATTGTCCTGCTAGTGTTGTAAGCTGTAATGCTCGATGCCCCTTGCTTTTCAGGTAAGCGGTGTGATTGAGTTAATGTACCACAGTCTATATTCACAAATTTCATTGTACGATCTGACCCATTTTATTCCAAAATACTGTCACCTGGTTTCTTGGCATGACTATAATTTATGGACGAACCGATCAGATTTGTGATTACATGTTTTATATTTCAGAGCGAAATTCATTCACCCATTTGGCTAAATGGTGTTTTGGCATTATGGCTTATGTCAGTTCGTGATGAACACCCTAAATCTAATTCTTAAAATTAATCATCAACTGAAAATCATAATCCAAATTCCTCACACTGGTTTGTAACTTCTATTTGGTCCTAGTTATTAGGTGGACACTCAATGTCAACTTAGTGTCGCTCAAAGCTCGTCCATAAATAATAGTCTCACCCATTTTTCCAGTCACTATTCACGCCTAACTTGGTGGTAGCTTACTGGTTGGGTCGTTAATTATCACATGGGCCACTTATGGGATGTCTGGTCGAGCTACCGTTTCGAGATAGATGTTTGAATGATATGTGGGAAAGTCAGTCCATCATTACACATCTTTAGTCTAATGCAGTGTTTTCAGCCACATTCCTGCTGTTCTGAGAACTTCACTAGCTAGGCTTACGTGAGAAAAATCTTAACTAGGTGGAAATAGTTCCATCGTTAAATACCGTCACCTAGCTGTCCTTAGATCTTTTCCATTGAATATATCTTAGGAGAGTCGTGTACTTTGACTTTCCGTGAAGGCAACAAACCAACGGTTGAGGTTAGTCGGCAAGTTATTTACATCTTTTTCTACTGGTACGGAAACTTTCTAACATTCAGAAAGTGCTTGAAGTATATTTCCGTAAACTTCAAAAACTCGGTTCCATTGTTTTCTGCCGATTAACATCAAGGTTTGAAACTGAGAGCTCAGAAAATATGACGGCGAATAATATACAGGCGAACAATATGGTTTACAATGATGTTTTCAAGCTTTATTCTAATTTACGGCAACGTCTATATCCAAATGCAAAAAATAATAGATCAATAGAAGCCTTTTGTGAGTAAATCATAACAAAATAGTATGCGTAAATGAACGTAATAAGTAAAAAGTACAAATTGATACTAAGATGGCAAATGTTCTAGCGGTGATAAGAATAATATAAACTTGAGTCACTGTTTGAATATATCAAGTGTTTCAAAGCTTGGATAGGTAGACATTTAAATAACGGTCATTAAATATGATTATATATGGAAGGATATTTACAGAAAAATGTGATGTAAAACAAATTAACAAATGGTATGAAGAGTGATAATATGAAATCGTTAGTTGAGCGTTTCCCGTCTAAGGAAGGGGCAGAAGAATGGCGAATCTCTTCTGAACTCATGGACAGGTTGCTGTTCCGAACCCCTATGGCTCCTGGTGTTTGCAAGAGACGAGATCAAACACGTTAGGGGGTGACAATATGTCTTAGACCACTCGGAATGATTTATTTTTGCCACTATCGACCAAACGTAATGAAGTTGCATATTACCTGTATCCGACTATCTCCAAATCTTCCAGGGAGATGTTCTCTCATTCTTTGCTTGATGGAAAACCCAGTATAGTTATCTCTTCAGGAGCAGCGGAGTTTTGTAGATATAGATTCAGGCGGAAGAATTAAATGACATATCCTCTGTTTGGATAGACATTATTGATCGACTGAAGAATAAAAAAGAGTAGTCATGTAGAAAGTCTTATTATATCTCGCAATACTCTATCATGTAGAACATCGTTAGGTACATCCCTTTGGATCACAGTTTAACACAAGAGGTTTATTATAAACGGTCCATACATTGAACTTCTTGTTTCCTTAGCAAACGTGCTTCTTTAAAATCTTAGTGGTTAGCCTGCTCCAGTCAGAATTTTATTAATAAAATCTAGGTCCTTTTTGTATCGTCTGAGTAGATCATTATCCTCTGTTTGAAAGATATAAGTATATTTCTTAACCTGTTTTTAAACCCCCGACGCTCCGTTGTTTAGCACAGACCGTAATAAAATTTTTAGATTAGTTGGTTATCATGATTTTGTACATGTCGTATTGTCAGATAAATCCTGATCAGGTGTAACCGGTTAATCATGCTACTTTAAATTTAAGACTCAAACAGTGACCTGGTGATTAAGGCTATCGAGTTCCAGCTACTGAATCCTAGGTTCGAACTCTTCTCCACCTACTTGGGTTTGGAATACCGGATTGTTTTATTACTAGATCTCATACTCAATATGTGGCTCACTCCCAAGTACCTATTGAATGAGTTCATTTAATTGGTTGAAGTTGAAAACATTTAGCATTGTCTACGGGAATAGTTAGTAATTAAAGTTAATAATTGAATTATGATAATTATAATACTCAAATAAATGATTTGAATCCTTTGAAACATCCTATTTTTATTTGAACTACAAAATAATTGGTGGTATGTTACACCAGGCATGCACCACAAAAAATTAGAATATTTTTGTGGAGAAAATTCTTAATAAAAGCTGGATATTGTAAAAGGCGTAGTCCTGAAACGAACACTCAAAATTTGTTTTGTTTGAAGGTCCCTCATACTGTTGATAACCAGTGTAACAGAAACCTACCTCGTAATTTACCGTGGTTTTTACTCCAAGCTATTTTTTCTAACGTTTCAAATTACTAAGTTGCATTGTCTTAAGGAAATCACAAATATACCAGTCCATAATGCACAGTTAGTGAGGAAATTAACAAAATAAAGTCAGATGAGTTATAGTAATATTAAAAATAATACGAACTAAATGTAAGAAAGTTAGTTCGAAGGGGACGAATGTGATATAGTACGGAATGTCAGTCAGTAACAACGTAGAACTTCGTACGTACGTACATCAGTTCAAGTTGCCATACCACATTAGTACAGAGATGCAGTTGTCGATTCAAATCCCGTAGTGATAGAGGTAATAAGAGTATAAGCGGTAATCGGATAGATTAGGGTTTGAAAATGTTATTCAAAGAGTATAATCCAGTGAAATAAATTTGGAAAGAGGAAAAAAGGGACATGAAGAATTCAAAAGATTACAATTTAGGAGAACACAAAGAGTGGATGCACCTGCGCCATTGCAAACGATTTTGAGCCATGTCATTCAAGGTCTCTAACCATCGGTTGCTATCATCTCGTGGTCCCCAACCAGGTAGTCTACACCTACCAACATGACTCAGTTCACTTGTCAGTGACTTCATGGATTTGTGCCATGTTTTGGTCTGGCCACCCCTAGCTTTCTTCCAACCTACTCCTATACCATTGAACATCGCTCGTCGAGGCTGTCGGTCGTTGGGCATACGTAACACGTGTCCCAGCCATCTCAACTGATGAAGTTTCACTACTTCATCAATTGATTTGCCATCCTTACCTAGTACCCGTTTCCTAACAACTGTGTTACTTACTCGATGGTCCCATGATATACGAGCAATGTTTCGAAGACACCTATGATCGAATACTAGTAACCTACGAATATCCTCTACTCTTACCGGCCATGTTTCACTGCCATAAAGTAGAACGGAACGAACTGCTGCGCAGTAAACACGTCCTTTGGTTGATAGACGGATATCTCGCCTACGCCATAAATGACGCAAGTTGGCAAAAGCTAGTCGAGCCTTCCGTATCCGTGCTGAGATTTCGTCACACACCAGACCACAAGGGCTGATGGGACTTCCAAGATAAGTGAAGCGGTCGACACACTCAACTACTTCACTCCCTATCACTAGTTCGGGTGTCGATGTAACCCAATCCTGAAGCAACATTTTGCATTTCGAGGGAGAGAATCGCATCCCGAACATGCTTGCATTGTTGCTTAGAGTGGTCAGAAGACTCTGCATTTTGTCAGCATCTTCACCAAATAAAACTATGTCGTCTGCATATTCTAAGTCAACAAGTGAACCTCCCGGTAAAAGTTCAACCCCTGGAAATTTAGATGAGGAGAGTGTTATCACTAAAAGTACGTCGACCACAAAGTTGGACAAGAATGGGGAGAGTGGACAGCCCTGACGAACACCACTTGAGGTAATCAATTCTGATGACAGTTCGCCATAAGCTCTCACTCTACCAGTTGTGTTCGAGTAGAGAGCCTTTATAAGGTTAATGTACTTCTTTGGTACTCCTTTCAGTGACAAACACTGCCATAGAACCTCACGATCAACAGAGTCGAATGCCGCCTTAAGGTCGAGAAATACTACCACTGTGGGGCGTCTGAATGTGTGTCTGTGTTCTAGAACCTGACGTAGTGTGAATATCTGATCTATACAACCACGTCCAGGTCGAAAACCGGCCTGGTTTTCTCTAATCTGCCCTTCACGAGCTTTGATTAGGTATCGAAGTATTATTGAGGCTAATATTTTAGCCACTATATTAGTCAAACTGATTCCTCTGTGATTATCACAAGAGGACTTTTGTCCTTTCTTATAGACTGGCACAATCAGTGATTGAGACTAGACAGATGGGATTACGTCCAGTTCCCAAATTCTACCTAAGACCTCGGTTAATCTCATTGCTAATACTAGAACACCATCCTTGAAAATCTCAGGAGTAAACCTGTCAGGGCCTGCTGCTCTTTCTCGTTTCAGATTTCCTATGGCTTTTTCAACTTCGTAAAGGGACAGAGGACGGAATGACAAGATTCAACACTTATAAGGATATAAAGGATAAACGGAAATGCGCCATTACAACTTTGTGCTCTCACTTACGCATACCACTTCAATAGTCAACCGTGTTGGTGCATACCATATTTTCGTTTGGCCAGTTTTAGCTCCCTCTCTACTTACTCTTACGCTAACGTGTGTCTGGCTATTAAGTTAAGTGTTAGCTAACTCTAATGAAGTTAGCTTATGTTATTTTGTCACACAGTAACCGAGCTATAACCTCACCAGTTGTCTATACGTAATAATAATTAGTCAGTAATAACATGAATCTTCGTACGTACGTACATCAGTTCGAGTTGTCATACCACATTAGCACAGATACAATTGTCAATTCAAATCCCATAGTGGTAGAGGTAGTAAAAGTATAAGCAGTAATCGGAAAGATTAGGGTTTGACGATGTTATTCAAGGAGTATAATCCAGTGAAATAAATTTGGAAAGAGAAAAAAAAATGGATATGAAGAATTCAGAAGATTAAAATTTGGTAGAACACAAAGAGTAGTAATAATAAGCATAATTAATTAACAGGGACATGAATCTGTTATCTTGTTCTGCATGTTTCGCATTTATACCATTTAATATTATACTGTAATAGTGACTATATACATGAATATATCAGTTGTCTCCAGTTAATGTTACCTTCAACATTTCTCTGTATTATTATTCCGTGCATTCTGTGCTTAATTTATGATTTGAACAATTTTGATAATTATATCTACTACTATGAATCTGGTGTTCATCTTGTGCTTATGAGGTCTGGCAACTTGGACCGATGCACATAAGTGCCTTGTCCTACGTTGTAGCTGATTGACTGACTGATAAGTATGTCAGTCTGTCATAACCACTGTACAATCTAGTACAAATATGCATCGGCCCAAGCTAGCATACTACACCATAGCGAAATGAAATTAACAAGGTATATGATAAAAAACCCGAAATAATGAAGTTCAGATCGTAGTACTATATGATAAACGCTATAAAGAAGTTTTATTCAAATCACAAATCTATCTTAGATAAACATCAGTTCGTGGTCCCAATAAAATTCAACAATCTCCATAATTTGATACCGGTAACTAAAAGTGGTTGCTAATATGACTTTGGTGTGCTTGTTTTAAAATAAACCTAATGCTATCCATCTACAGATGGCTTTCTACTATATTTCAGCTACAATATTTTTCAAGTCTAGTATACTACTATCTAGTTTTCAAAATCCTCACAGACCTGTAAATTCAATTTATTCGTAGAAACGTTTAAGAACATTTATAGGCATTCGAAATTAAACGTGATAGCAACCTTTTGAAATGTAGTCTCTCCATTTTTTTAAAAGAAGGTTCATTCATACTTATGTGCACGTGACTAGAACTATTTTGTATCGCTTTTTTCTTAGATTTTTTGTGGTTGTATTTTTTTTTCAATTTGATATTTCAACTTAGGCAAACACAGAAAAAATCTACTTCTCCAGTAACCTGTACTGTGAATCCGATTATTCATTATGCTTCTTGTAATTCATATGTTTACCGACCAATTAATTCACCTCTGTTGGGGGTCGATTTTGGCAAGTTATTTTAATTACATTTTTCTACTCATAGTTTCTCTATTGATTTTCCACTACTGTTTATCACTAGTTAACTAACTTTGCTGATTTCACTTTGATTATTGCTACTTCACATAGTATTCGGAATATTATATCACGTTCTCATATACTACTGATTCATTAATACACTCTCTAACAAGGATAATTTCGTATTTAAATGAATTCTATAATATACTCCACAACTAGTTGAATTATAGGTCGTAAATTAAGGCTTTAATGTCTGTATACTAGTTACTTTTCTGTTAATAAGAATATTTCTGTAAGGATCCTCCCATCATCAGCACGTACAACTAATTTCCTAGTAGTTTCTCTCCTCTGAAACTTTCATGGACTGATCATCAAACATTTCTGCATTCACTCTTCATTTGGTCTACAAAATTGTGACTTTATCTGTGAATTAATACATATTTCTTCACCTACAAAACCTGTTAAATATAAACTTCGTTTTTCTTACCCATTTAAAATTATAACCTCGCTATACACCAGTGATACCTATTATTGACATCAATAGTTGAAACTTCAGCACAATATTAAGCGATCTGTGTAATTATCAACACTTTACTTAGACTTCCTATGGGCGAGAACAGTTCTTGGTATGGTGTCGTCAGATAGTCTTAATCACTGCTCAGATAGATGTCTTGAAATCTTTTAAGAGTTTATATTCATTTGCTTCTATCCCATCTCAACTATTACGCATGTTCGTTTAAATCATAATTTATTTGTCAGTTCATTATATTATTTTATGCTCCACTTCAATATTATCGCTATATTGTTTTATTCTGTAGGAACCTGAATGAATGCCGTTTTATACCAATTACTGTTCTGTTTATATCATTTAGATTTTTTCTAAACTGTTCGTATATACACTTCATTTTCGTGTCTACATTCTTTATTATATTTGATGTACAGATACCAATCAGCGAACTTTTACAAATCAGACTGATGGACATATAACCAATGTATTAAAATTGATTAATGAGGAACAAGTTGATAAAACACTAAGCAGCGGTTTTGTAGAATCACCATTATCATCCTACATGTGCGACCATGTAAGTGCATTGATTGTTGTGGATAATTGTTATGTTGAACATGTTGCAAAAAGTAATAGAGTTAATTGATTAGTACAATTTCACAACGATATTACCGGCGTAAATTATATTTTCCCCATAAAATATTTTTAACGTTTTATTTTATGCGACCAGAAAGAAATTGTGTTTTTTTCTTCAGCGAAATGAGACGCCTAGTAAACAGTATGCACATGTATATGTACCACATGATCTTTCCAAAAAACACTCCAGTCACATACTATATACCTGAAAATAACTGGGATATTTAGAAAAGATAGCCAAAAGTCTGAAATAAATAAAAGACAACCAAAATACTGTTTGTATACAAACCGAATAATACATAGTAAAGGTGACGGAGTATACATCAAGTGAAAGCTATTTTGAGATAATGAGGATGTTACTAGTGTTTTGAATATCAAGTTTTATATTCCTACTGTTTAGCACATTTCATGTTGTTAAAGATAGTTAAAAAGAACCATGTACTTGATTTCCACACCGATTTGGAATTGCAAGTACTTTGTACCTACAATTTCGAGGGAACTAATATTCACTATAGAATTCACACCTTACGAATAAGCTTATCACCTAACAATAGGATTTTTTTATTTATACACAGTTTGTCATATATATATATATATTGCCATTACATTATCTGCTGACTTCTAAGTTAACAAAACTATGTAGTATGCATCATACTGTGTGTGTATATTGTACACTTAATATGAGGTTTATGCCATCTAATTATATTAATCCACATTTGTAGTATGTTTTCAGAAGTTTGCACCTTTGAATGCTACTACGGTTGTTTTGAAGAGAGTTGTATTGTTCTTGGGTTCGGTATAATTACTATTATCACAGATCGAAATCATGAGTCAGTTGAAGCTAGACCACCATTAAAAACCTGGAAGCACTGGACGCCCGTTTCGTCCTAGTATGGGACTCCTCAGCAGTGCGCATCCACGATCCCGCACCACGCGGGGCTCAAACCCAGGTTAAGTGCTCGCGCGCGAAGCCAGTAGGTCCTGGGTTCGAGCCCCGCGTAGTGCGGGATCGTGAATGTGCACTGCTGAGGAGTCCCATACTAGGACGAAACGGCCGTCCAGTGCTTCCAGGTTTTCAATGGTGGTCTAGCTTCAACTGACTCATGATTACAATCTGTGAAAATTTCTAAAAATCTCCACAAACCCCTTCTGATAATAATTACTATTAAACATTTTGATTCCGGGTATTATTATATGCAGTCAGTTTTCAACTCTAGTCATCCAAGTTTGACAATAGCTTATGAAGCTATGGGCATTTTCCATAACAAAATACAGTACCATAAGACTAGTTTATCCACTTATCAAACACTTTACCTCTTGTCACAACTTCAAACAGCCTCTGAAATTGGTTGAACAGTAGAATTTAGAACACTGCAATGTAAACACTCGACCATCAGTTACTGGGACATAAACTAGTACACATCTGGCTTAATTAACTTAAGCTTATAACATCAAATCTCTCAATTATTTACACGTTAATGAAGTTAAATTCGGACAATACTAAAAACAAACAGTAAAAGTCGAAATAATCTAGACTCTATAATCGACTTGACTTTGTATAGTACCACGCCAATGTCCCAACTATGTTAGCTGATATCCAAACGCTTATTAGCTCAACATATTTACTTTTCCTACGAGCACCAATTAGAAGACGAGAATAAGACAGCTGGTCTAATCTCTGTATCTGACTGGAAAATTTACACAATTAAGTACATTAGTTATTGGACTGCAACGCCTCATAAATACGAGGTTACAATATGTACCAAACATAAGCATTTTAAAAAGAAATTCGGAATAATGGGCATATAATTAATTTAAAGTGATATGAGAACAGAAGAAGATATGACAACAATTAGTGAGTCATATGGAAGTTTGAAGTTAGAACATAAATACACATTAGAAAATTTGCACAGTGACATCCCCAGAAAATCATTCGAAGTTTGGCATTCTCTCTAGTCTATCTCGTCCCAACATGTGTATTAATCGAACGCTATTAATCCGAGATCACCGTGCGGTCGAAATTCTGAAACTCTTTCGTTGACGTATTTATTCAATTTAAATTGTTTATATATATATATATATATATATATATATATATATATATATATATATATATATATATATATATATATATATATATATATATATATATATATATATATATATATATATATCATCCATTTTTCTCTTGTGCATTTTGTTGATGATACATGTTATCATATATATTCTAACAAATCAATTTCTATCCATTCATAGCCAGGATATATTTGTGGTTGTACAGTTCAAAGAACAAATTATGGATCACACTATCAGTTGCATAGTAATGTACAAGCGCAATTAGACGGATGGATTGAACTTCGTTGTCCATTGTCTTTTTTAGGTTGTAAATATGCTGTAGTTAATCTTCGTCCTAATAGTGAATATAATCATTTATTGTATAATCCAACTCTTGCTACATTTACAACGCGGTATGAATCAGAAACTAATCAACATAACATACTTACTCATCATTCAGAATTAACAAATAGTGAATGTTTTAATTTTGATCAGTTGCCTGCAGAACTTTTAATTTATTTATCTTTTTTCTTAGATGACATGTCTTTACTTTGTTTATCTAAAGTTTCTAACCGATTATCTACCGTATATAAAAATATTATTTGTGCAAGGTTAATTGTCACACCACAATGGGATAAAGTTCATCACAGATCATCAGATTTATTCTCTTGGCGTATTACAGGATTTTTGTGGTCTTTTCCACATCGTGCTGAATCTATCAAAGGATGGAGATCTGCACATGGTGCATCAGCTAGATCAAAGATTTCAGCTCATTTAACCAGTTGTCATTATAACGACAAAACCATACGTGTATTTCCATTCTGTTATTTGGAATGAATAATAACTTGGATAACAAAATAATAGCTTTATTAGCATGGCATCTTTAACTCTATCTACTTCCTTACTACCATAATAGGTAGTACAATCGCTCATTTGTGAAATATCTAAAGTAATACTACACAATTATACATAACCAAACTAGATTACTTCTAATCATTCTAATGTCTTATGCTGTCTTCTTTCTGAAATCGTACTAAAATAACCATCAACTATCCTATTCAATATTAAACTACTTTAGATAAATAAGTGATTCTCTTAAGTACTATCTACTTTCCAACACACACATAGCATGTCATTATTATGTGATGATGAGCAGTATAAGACTTCACGTTTTTTGAAAAATCATTGACTTATAGATATTTTCATCGAACTATTTTTTTGTTTCACTTCTGTTGTATTACGTACAATAAAGTACCTGTATAAATCCTTGTATGTATATACATATTTATTTGCACGTATAGAATGTAATATATCATTCATTATCCAAAGTTATTTACCTGGAAATTAAATTTACTTTTCTAGAATACTTGATAGATATAATCTCATCAGCACTAAACGTCAACATATACTGACCAGTCTGGTATTTGCTCCAGTCATAAGGTTACTTTGTCCTTCAATAATCCGGTGTTTATATCGTCAGTTGTACCTGAGTCATGTTTGAACTGACCAACATTCCTGCTATTACGTATGCCCAACCACTGCCTACCGCAAAGGGCGATTTTTTCTGGTGTAAGAGTAGGCTGGAAGAATTCTAGGGGTGGTCAGACCAAAATATGGCATCAATCGACGAAGTCATTGACAGTTGGGCTGAGTTATACCAACAAGTGTAGACTTCCTGGTCGGGGTCTGCGTGGTTATCGTAACCTATGGTTAGAGACTTTGAATGACATGGCTCAAAATCATTTGTGATGGTACAGGTGCGTCAGTTCGTTGTCTTCTTAAAATTCTAAATTCCTCATAGCTTTCTTTGTTTTTATTTCACTAATTTACATTTTCTCGAATCGCATCTTCAATGCCTAATCTTTCCCGTTACCACTGATACTGTTACTACCCCTACAATATTCTGGAAATTGGTCTGACAATTTTACCTCTCTGTGCTAACGAGTGTGTTTACTTGAACCAATGCACATATGTTCCAGCCAGTATGTTGTGATTCACTCACTAGCTAATAACTATCCTGGATTTTACTAACCCACTTTGTTGATTACTATTGATGTTTCGGTTGCTACCATTCACATAGCCTAACTGTATTTTAGTAGATATAATTATCGTAGGGAAAGTAAAGGGAGTGAGAATATAGAAATAAGAAATTTGGTTCAGTAATACTTGTTAGGTAAAATTAAGATTCACGCAGGTTAACTCATGTCAGCTTTCTCTTACCCTTGTAGTATTTATTTGTTGTACTTTTCAGTTTTTTAAACAAGGGAACTATAATACAGTAATTAGCCACTGATATTGTTTAGATGTTGTATCCGGTAGCATGTATAGTCAATTGCATTAAACATGATTGATTTCGGGATGGATATTAAGATTGCCTGGGATTCAGCAACATAAGACTCGTCTAGTAAGTGGTGAATATATTGTAAGGTATTCTTTTGTAAGGCATGTTGCGTCTTTGCAAATTAAACGGGCCAACTTTTTCACTAGCTTTTGATAAACCGTAAACAGACACAGTTGAGTTCATCACAGTGGACCGGAATGTTATCCTGATGGATATTACAAACAGTAAGCTACGATATGTATAGATCATACAATTATCTCATATATATTTCAGATTAGAGTAAGAACTAAGTTTTTTTCATGTATATTATTTGACATACGTAACTGTGTTCGTGGTCATAACCTGATAACAATTAATTATTTTCCACATTGAGCGATATTTTAAGCCGAAATCGTATATTTCCAACTGAAAGATAACATATTCCTATTTAAACATTTAAAAATTAAAAAACACGAAGTTCAGCGAAAGGATCTCTTTTCAACGAATTTATTATCAAGCTGTACAATCATATATCTATGACCATTTTTTGTCCAAGTACTAATTCCGTGAGGAAATGCGAACACAAATAACCAATATGACGTAATATGAATAATAATAGATCTAGTGAATATAATAAGATGATTAAAACGTTTTTGTTACAATAATTAAAGGTCATAGAGGTTTAAAAATAAATAAATTGATATGATAAGTATTTATGAATAAAACGATGAGAATATAAGGCTTAAGTAAAGGGAAATTCAGTAATAATAGTGATGATAAAAATAATATTAATTAGGGCCAAGATAACGATAAGACGTACTTCTTTTGTATACGTAGTTCTAGTCTGAGCTCATGGATGGTAAGAGCTTCGACTATTTATTAGGAGATAGATACGAAAAAATCTAAGTAGATTTGAACGAATTAAATAAACAACCTTAAAATCAAACTGTGGATCCGTAAAATGATTACAGTCGATTAGGTATCCAAGTATAGAACTAACTGCTTTCCCTTCATCCTTGTAGAACCAAACTGGAAAATGGTCTGGTATTCGAGCTGAAAGCGAGCGCTGGCTACGGCCAATGTAACTTGCTCCACAAGAGCAGGTGGACTAGTAGATGCACATGGAGGCAACCAAACGCGGAAGCTTATCTTTTATGGATACAGAAAATAAGTCCCTATTGGTGAAGGTTATTCGCAATTTCGCCGCATTAAATGTTCTTTTAATCGCTGTCGTTAGGCGGTTATTGATCACGTCAGATGTTCAATCCCCCTTAAATTCCAGATCAAAAAAAGGGTTTTCCTTTGGGACGGAACAACTAGATTTCCTGTCGCAACTACTTTGGCCTTAATATTATTTTATCATTACTATTATTACTGCATTCCCCTTTACTTAAGTCTTATATTCTCATTGTTTTTCCACAAGTACTCATCATATCACCTTATTTATTTTTAAACCTCTATGACCTTTAATTATTGTAACAAAAACGTTTTAATCATCTTATTATATTCACTAAATCTATTGTTATTACTCGTATTACGTAATCTAGTATTACAATCTTTCTATTACGTCATATTGGTTATTCGTGTTCGCATTTCCTCACGGAATTAGTACTTTGACAAAAAAATTTAATATATATATATATATATAATATATATATATATATACGATTGTACAGCTAGATATCTTGGGGAAGTTGCATTTATTCTACCTTTTATTGATTTACGTTACTCTTGGTGTATTAAGAGACTTGCTAAATTGTGACAAAGGGATCTTATCTTTTTTCTGTTATTTTCATCTTGTCATGCTAATCTGATATGGCAACTTAGGTCAGCGCACATATGTTCGAGAACCTACACTGGTGGTGTCTGATAGAAATTGACCAAGTGATGCATGCGAATGTTATGATGAGTTTCTTTTGAACTATAAAGTACACAATAATTTCGTAAATGTCTGATTTTAGATTATTATCAACTTGGTTTAATATTTTCATAATAATGTTTACTATGAAATACATACGTAAATAATTTCCACATACACCTATCACGTATTCACATCGACTTGGAAACCATAAAAACATTTTCTGACCCAATATGTCGCTACTTCCCATTAAATATTTATGAGACTTGTTGTTCTGTTCTAAATTTCTGTACTTGTTTTTTCATAGTCAGTGTAAATAAACATACGATTTATGTCAGTATAATAGAGGTACAGACAGTTCGTATTTTTGTTGTCTTCAATTGTTTAATCATGTGCTTAAGCTTATTATTATTTCGTGTCGTACAAACGTACACTGGCATATTTTGGCAATGTAAATATTATAAAATCTATTCAAATAACTGATCTAAGACTTACATTCATGTCAACTGACGTGACCATTGGGTTGTTTGGTAAAAAAATATTTTTCTTTGTAAACAGTTACATAAATGATGTGCTTTAGATAAAGACGTGTAATATTTGAGTTGATTGTAGGCAATTGAGTTTACTTTAACAAACCTTAACATAATTTTCCTATTTATAAACCACATGAACATACATGACTCAGTCAGTGTGAGATAATGACAGAAATATGTGGATTTAACAACAAAAATAGAACAATTATATCTTATTAAAATTATTTTAAGTATTTTCTTTTAGTTAGACTATCAATCAAGTTTCGAATAAACTTTAACTCCAACGATCTCATCACCGATTATTCAACAACTCGTAACCAATCTGAGCCGTAATAAAAGTACGACGTATATTTCGAGGTATAAAGCGCATATTTATTAGATTACTTGGGTCGTGACAAAGTTTAATAGTGTTCGACGGACCTAACTAAATTGACTAGAAGGACAAACTTTATGGGACGTTTTATTTTCGAGGGATGACACATACGATTTCTCTAAACCTATAGGTCAGCTAGTTATAATTAAGATGGAGCCTAAGACGAATGTTTTCACTTCCACAATGGTACAGTAAGATGAGATTATTAGAATGACTACGAAGGTAGTAGTTTTAGTACTAAATATTGTAAACAAAGTTATGCGCCAACAGCTACACAAAATCATTCAAGGCAGCACACGGAACGAATGGAGGTTCGGAGAACTTTACTTTTTACTAGTCATATATGTGACCGGTTTATTTTATTGGATAATTTCATAATCAGCCAACAACACGGTTGAGATTTTTTCCGCCATGTAAGGAAGAAAACACAAGACGTCTCCAGGATTATGAAATAAAACAAACTATATAGAAACATCTATCAGCGCATTTCGAACACAAACTGCTCAAAATCTACAATACTTCAAACTATCTTGGGGAGCGACAAAATGACTAAATACAACAATACGTGTTTATTTACATCATAATATTAGTTACAAATGCGTTCAAGACTACACTACGTGTTACTAATTCAACGATTCTCATGGTAACCAATTAATGTCCATTGAATGGAGCCCATCGAAAGCAATTTGTTTTAAATGTATCCACTAACCACCTGTGGTATTTGTACTGATTACTGTTTTGTACTTGATTGACCACTTACTACGAGTTACAAATACAATGCGTTCATTCGTGCTCATCTAGTTCTACCTGCCTTAACTTGCACCATTTCGGGAATTTCTAGTTACCATCTCGAAGGAGTACTTCAGAGTTAGACAATGTCCCCTAGTAACATATTCTGTGATTTCATCTGAGGTCAACCCCCGTGAAATTTGGCTCTGATGCAAACACAATCTCAATCCTCTCCACTAGGTGTAAACAGTACCATCCAAGCATACGATGACAATGATTAGTGCAATAGCTACCAGCAGAATGTATGAGCTTTGACACCTCCCACTCGGATTTGTAGCTAATCATGTTCATCTATCATACATATGTGAACTTCAGATATTTAGCACGTTTGGAGGGTTGAACAACTGCCCGATTCGTGACAATCTCATACACCAGCATTAGTGAATACAACTATGTATGTCGAGTCAGTCTACTGTACTTTCAAAATACGGAGAAAATCGAGGTCTCAGTTTCAGTTTGGGAAGGACAGGAGGCTCGATGGCCTATGTTAGTCCTGGCAATGGTGGTCTCTCAGTTGATCCAACTTTCTTTTGAAAGAGTCGACGGATGGAGCCTCAACCACGTGCTGAGGTAGTGAGTTCCACTCGTTGATGATTCGATGGGAAAGTCGATAGTCAGCTGACAAGTAATTTGTTCTCGGTTTATGAACTTTTTTGGTGTCCTCGTAAATTCTGTTTTGGAAAACAAGAAAAATGAGGGCATGAACATGATAAAAAGCGCTAAGGAACTACGGGCTTTGTAGGACGATGGGATGTCCAATAAAGTTTATTTCTTTCTGCCACGAATTTAAAACGACTGACAATTGTCAATAATATAAAAGTACCGTTGCCCCCATATCACTCAAGTAAATGCAAACGATTTTATGATTGCGGCTAACCGAACTAGCACACTCTTTCTTATGATCATCAGACGTTCTTGATATTCCTGGTAGTAGCTTCTAGCAACAACTTTATTTGGAATTAATCAATAGTATTTAGTTGCGCAGTCTAGTCTCGCACTAATAACTCAACCTTCTAGGGTACTGAATGTACAAACAAACCCTGACATAGTATTAAACCTAAACACTGACCTGTACGAACGCTTAAAGTTTTTAGCCTTCTGTGGAGCTTGTTTGCTTTTTGTCGTTGCTACATGGATGTCTTTCAGAGTTACCACTAGTAGATATTGAGTTGAGTAGCGGATTTCGAAGGAAAATCGGATGACATTGGGCTGGCTATCCGCAAATAAATTCCCAGAAAGAACATTACTGCACTTCAGATCCATTGTTCTAACAAGGAATACTTCAACCACGAGCTCTAATGTGGGCATAGCAATCGTGTTGATATTAGGTTCGAGACATGCTTCACATTTTTACCAGCTTGCTCTACAACTTGCAAATTTATCGTCCACACAGAAATGTAGCTGTTCGAATTACATCACAACAGATTATATGAGTTTGTTGTAGATGGTATCGAAATCCCGCCGTCCTCAAGTTTTAAGACATTTCCACAGAGGTTATTCAGGTGAAAATCGCATGAAGTCCATCGCTAGTTTTGCCTACTGGATGTTTATAAACTATAACGTTTTGAACTTACGAACGATCACGGCGTGTTAACAAACACCAAAACTCAATAATGAAGAGAACCCAGTCCTATGATCGATTTGACACAGATTCAGGAGGCCTAATCAATGGCATCACATGTTCGGTTCTCATTGGTGCATTATTTTTATGCTCCTAATAACAACAAGACTATATATTGACGGAGACTCCTTCCCTGGACATGATATTGGGCACAATAGTCCCAGATAACGGATCACAACTTGCCTGAAGTCATTTCCAAGAATTCTACTACTGACAATCCACCACACATTCCCTCACCGCCATACCACTCCTAGTTACATGGACAGACAAAAACGTCCTGGGGCACCTTCAAGAGTGTTAATTTATTTAGTTTAACACATAAATATTGGTACAAAGAGGGACCAAATACATATGCGCCACACATATCTCATTTGATATATGTGAGGGCTGTGATACTGCCCGTGTACCCAAACCGAAGCAAGAATTACAATGAGCATAGGAATGTCCTAGATATTAATGGCCTACGGTATCCGCGAGTCATATCAGCGAAACAAAGTTATGACATTATTTAAAAGCATCAAATGTAAAACTTGTTTGCTATTGCTTGGGAAAGCTAGGTTGTCACTACATACCATTGTCGGCCCGTCTGATCAAGAACCAGATATTAGTAACACAAAACATTCTAATACACGGTGGGAATGAAGACCCACCACAACATAAAATTAGTGATACAAATAGGATGATGCTTAAGGTATTTTTGTCGCCTTCGCTCTGTTAAACACACAATATTTGATCATATCATTTGTTTGTTTTCCTTTCTATCTGCTTATTAAACAGTGGTAGCGCAACTGAACAAAGTACACCAGTTTTATTGCCGTTTTTATATTTAAAGTAAATCCTGAGAGTTTATCATTTCTTGAATTAAAATCTAACTAGTTAAATGACAATCCAATATTTTTTTATAACTAGTTTCGAGGTACATTTTTAAATTTTCTAATGAGAACTTAACACTTACAGAGCTAACCCGGCCGAAATTGTCAAAGCAGTTCAACAAAAGCATTAATCCGAGGATTATAGCATATTGCATATTGACGAAAGCCAAGAAGGTACAGTGCCGGATTCTCGAGAAGTGGCTTGAAAGTATGGTGGTTACGAAGAAAGCTGATAGTCCAAGACTCCATTTTATATGGGATCATGGGGGAGCTACGATGCTTCAAGGTAGGATACAACAGCTATCTAGGTGTGTTTTTTCTTAATTGTTGGAGGGAATCGTCCCCAAGTTTCCCTCCACTTGATCCAAAAACTACACACAGTACGCATGGAGATTAGGTCCACACAACAACTACTTTTCGAAACAAATCTAGCTTTCAGCGTGAAAACGATGACAAGATAAATTTTTCCATCGAAATTTTGTAATCAAAAAACCAGATTCCCGAACGTTTTTCTCCGCTACAAATACAAAAAATAAAGATGACACTAGCAAACTTATGACGGTTTTCTAGACTGAATGCAGATTATACTCTTTTTGAGCAGAAAAAGTAGCGAAAATTCTAGTTTTATCATTCACATAACTTTGTGTCTTCTGTTGTATTAAGCCTTTAGTGCTGCTTTTGTGTGTTCTTGTTGAAGTTTTTGTTGTAATTTGCTTATCTGTTCCCGGCAATTCTCCTGCTGTTTTTCCAGTTCTTTTATCCTGTCATCGTGACGTTTTCTAAAATGCCGGATGAATATGACAACTGAGTTCTTACATTTCAGATGTTATGTAGCTTATCCTTTTACTGACTGTTTCTTTAGCTTCAGATAAATCCTGTTTGACTAAAACTGGACCAACAAGTTTGTATATAGCATTGGATTCATTTAATAATCCAAAGTCTTCAATAACATTTTCATTTTCAGAAAGTTGGGCAGATAACTGACGATGGAGCTGGAAAATCTTCTGTATTTCTTTTTGGATACCTTGTGCTTTTTCTATTTCTGCATTCAATCGCTTATAAACAGGCTCCATCGCCTAATTTGTGTAAGGAAGTATTTACTTGATATCTGGAGAGCTGTATGGATCAGTTGAAGGCTAGGGTTATACAAAAAAGACATTGGTAACCGGCAATTTGTAATTTGGATATACAGAACATCTTATTTCAAGAAAAACAGCACTTACGATAAACATAACAAAAATAAGACTCAGGAAATAATCAACAGTTAGCATTTGAAATATAATTTTTTTATGGGTCAACTTGTACCGGCCTTATAGTTCACAAATTAATTTACATACTGCCGGATATTTGATTTCCCATCTATATAACTGTAACAATCACTTAATTTCGTATTCATATATCAAGACAGACATGCCTTGTGTACCAAAATGCTTAGACTTGATATATTACATAAAACTGTAGAAGTTGGTTTAAAGGTCAAACACTCGCAACAGAACTTGGAAATCCTGGGTTCAAATCCACATTTAGAATCACGAGTGCGCACAGTTGAGAAACCGCATAATGTGACGAGATCACAGTTTGGTGTTTTCTGGCTTTCAACGATTGTATAAGACCAGTTCATGATGCAAACTATAAAACAGGATTTTCAAATAAAGAGAGAAACGATGACGAATATCTTCGATATTGTTGTTTAAACACAAGTTAAGTAACGTGCCTACAATAAGTCTGGACGGAGAAGCCTGATGGTTGGAGCAGGTCATTGAGTTTGTTGCCTGAAGAAAGACTTCTCAACCTTGAGTATGCGGATGACATTGTCTCACTGTGCGGTAATACCCAAGCTATGCGATCCGCACTCAGTCAGTTGGCAATTAGTGTCCGTAGGTATGATATGTGCCTTCACCTTCGAAGTGCAAGGTACTCCTACAAAACTCACAGGACCCTGATCCTGCACTCACCGTAGGTAGTGAGCAGATAGTAGTCGAGAAGTTCGTATATCTGGGTAGCTGTATAAGTGCTGGTGGTGGCGTGAATGATCAGATCGATTTGCGTATAGTGAAAGCCAGAGTGACTTATGCTAATCGGGGCCATCTTTGACACCGTTATGTTAGTCTGGCTGTCAAAGATCGGACTCACAATGCATCCGTGAGAGTAGTTTGGTGCTATGGTTGTGAGACCTGACCTCTTCGAGTTGAGGATGTTAGACGACTCTCTGTGTTTGATCATCGTTGTCTCCGAAGGATTGCTGACATCCAGTGAAATACCATATTAGTAATGTAGAAGTTCGGCATCGTGTGTTCGGGCACAGCGACATGAAAGAAAGCTGTACATGACTGGCTTTTGTTGGTCCTTTACAACTCCGTGGTTGGGGTCCAAGAGATTCTGCAACACAATGGCTTGGTGCGTTATGAGACACAGATTGGAAGCCAGTGGCGGTCCTGCTGTAACTTTCTTTGAATGAAAGAATTCTTTTTCCTAACTGAACTCTTTCTCCTATTATTTCATACTCATACTAATTTCCATTCGTTGTTCATTTTTTTATTATACTCACTTTACATTATCTACTTCTTCAGAGTTTCATTGTTATCATGTGAAGTATATGTATTTGGTACTCTTTGAACCAATATTTATGTATTCAAATAAATGAACAAATCTGGATTAGTTCCACACTTTATATGAACAGAGGCGGGAAATCGACAGAATAAAAGCAAGGGTAAAAAACAGTACTGCTGATTACAGCAAAAAACTAGACTTAAGAAATATAAATAAGAATAAAACCGGGAAGTGAAAAGTACTGAATAGGAATGAAGGTTAGGATGGGAAGGGACAAAAAGGATAGGTGAGTTTGTACTAGAATGAATATAGTTAGAAAACAAGTACTTGGTTACACTGCTTAGACTATCAATAAACGTCTATTCAGACTGATATCAGGTACTGATTGAAATGCTTTAAACACTCTTTCACCTAGGTTACCGCTACCTAATTCTCTAATCCCAACATGTGTCGCTTTTATTGTCATTATTATCATTATTTAAGCACGTAAATTCTAGTACAATAAAGAACCAAAAGCAGAATTAACCGCATAAAGTACAGTTTTTCCCGGTTAACAATACAAAAGAAACAAGCCAAAACTATTTCAGTTAAAGAAGTTCCTCTGACATTTATGAAGAATGTGAGGGAAAATTACAGAATTATCTCTACTCGTTGCTACACTGACCTGTCCGACGTCTTAAACCACTGAGTTGCACCGAATTTACAACCGGAAGCAAGTCCAAATGGACTAACGGATGCCACTTCTATACAGTTTCTCCACAGACTCTGGAGTCGTTTCATAAACTGACCACTTATCCGCTTCTTTCAATCAGTCCCAGAGTTTATGTGAAAGTTGCTGAGATTACATTCGTAAAACACGTCCAAGACAGCGGTCAGTGTTCCAAAGTAGTGAAACTAACTGAGATAACACAACTCAACCCAAGAACACATCCCGGACTTCGGCATTACTGATAAGGTTGCCGCTGGATGCTAGAAATCCTCCTGTGACAATTGGAATCGAATAGTCACAAACCATTAACTAGGAGGTCATGTTTCAATAATAGGGCGACACTCTTCTCACCAACACGTTATAGACCCGGTTTTTCATAACCAGACTAACATTACGATGGCATCGAACATAGCCCAGATCGTTACTCACCCCACCACCAACACTCACACAACTACCAAAGTATACGAGTTTTTGACAATTTCTAATGACTTTTCACCAAAAGTAGGTGCAGGCACAGGATTCTGGAAATCTTTTAAAATTATTGTTTCTAGAAGGTGAAAAGCGCTTACCATACCTATGGACATCGGTTGTATTTGTCTCTTGCTAGATAACTACCATAACAAATCAACCTACTGAAAGTACCTGCTACTGAAAACTGGAAACCTAAGCGTGTCATCAATAAACATGCTTTAAGACGATACCGTTCATTAATTAATGGTCATTACTAAATGAAAACATATGCCAATTCTAGAAAAAGTTACCCCACCAATAAACCATATAATTTATATAGAAGAGCTGAAATTTAATAGAGCCGACGAACATTGTTTGCTTAAGCGTTGCGAAAAAGGTAGTGAGAATTTGACGGATATTTTTATCCAGCTTTGCATATGAAATCCTTACTTTTGTAGTAGTTTGTCCTGGATTTTAAACATAAGTAATCTAACCTTTTAAGTCTCGGGAGATGGAATGAGACTTTATGACTGCAGCAAATGGTGTCACCAAACATGATTTTGAATTCCGTTACTCACTAACGGCGTTATAGACAATTCTAGCTGATAATGGTGTGTTGATCTAGAAAAAATCTCCGATGCCAGAGGGGATAGATCACATAAAAACCTCCCAAGAACAAACGAAACACTTTGAAAAACAACGGACATATAGTCAATAACAATTATGATGTACCGTTGAGAACTATGTTTAAAAACTCAACAAGACTTTAGTAATAAACTAATGTACAAATTATGAACCCTCAAGGGGAGATGTATAGAACACCCAAATAACTGTATAGTGGAATAACGGGACTGTTTATGTAGTGACGCATCCCCAAAAGAAGTGAACTGATGTTAGGCAGTCAGAGGTAAACGGTGACTACACTGAGACTTTACTAACAGTTTTCTATCAGCACTAAAGAACCAGGAAAGCATGACACTGGTTACTACTCAGTGATCAATCAATTGTACAAGTAAACACTGCTCCCCGTGGATTAACTACCTTCAAAATGTCTTTACACACGAACTACCCAAGAAGACACAATTAGTCACTGAATCACTGCCAAGGAAAAAACTGTAGTGGTGATTAGCCATGATGACGTATTTCTAAACTAGATGAAAACAGAGTAGGTTAACTAAAAGCTGTTTGATTCGAAAACACTACTTAATAGAGTAATCCAGGTGAAGGCTCTGAGCGCAAATTTCTACAGGCAATTGACCTCCTTGGTTTAGTGCATTCATAAATTGTATTGTATACCAAAGATATCAAGATATGGAGGTAGACGTCAAACCAGGACGGCAGCATTAAGATCCAGAAAATACAGCCTAATAACAAAACTAGTCTGAATTCTGGAGCTAAAGATATCGTTGGTACTTTCCAACATGGTTCACGCTAACCATCAAGGTACTCATAAGTACATATTTAATAACACCAATTTACTTTTTGTCCAAGTAGTGATCTAAGAGTTATGAAAAGTCAACGCTTTTAAACCACTGTAACTTGTCGATCAGTAACTCAGAAAACTTTCAGGATCATTTGATCTATATGTGCAGCATTTAGCCACTTACATGCAAAGACTGTATATGCTTTTCGTAAACTCCATTACTGTATGCACTCAGCTACTCCATGACTGACAAACTCTAATGAATTGGAATAGGTTTAGAGAGCAGTTTTCCGAGACCTTAAAAACTGTGTATAGCAACAAATCAGCCGAATACCAACCCTTCCACAACATCTGGGACCTGAGGTGATTATCGCCATTTTCAAACAATTTAATAGTTATTTCCCATTCGACAATCATATTTATCCTTATAGAACACATTAAACCTGGGGAGATACAAAAGTCCGGAAACCTTCAGATCATCTGCAAGTGAAGTTACTTCACTTAGGATATGGTTACAGCTATTTCATTACATGTACTCAGTGTTAGATCAATCAACAGACCATTACTAACAGAACTAACATTTGGCTTTTACTCTTTTCAATAACATGTCTCTAAATCATCAGCAATGGCGAAGGTACTTCTATCTAGTCTTCCGTCAGATCCTAGTCTTCTAAATTTCTTTATAATTCCAGTAATTCTAAAATTGCATGTTGGATGGATAGTTTTTCTACTTCCAGCAATACAGTTATCACCTCTACTACTTTCGAATTTGCTGACAATTTGATCTTGCTGTGCTAATGAAATATGGTGACTTGAACCGATGTACACACATGTCAAGTCCTATTTTGCGTTTAACTGACTTTTATTCTTTAACCCGTCTTTGAGTAGATAAACTACTCTAAACATAAGACAGCGAACTATTTCAGTTAAGTTTCAAGTAAACTAAGGAGTGCCTAGCTGGTATCAGAAATTCGTCACTGCTGGTCATCCATCGTACTTTACAACTAAGCCGAATGTCATAGTTACCACGATCCAAAAATCAGGACCTAAGTCCACTAATATAGTTAGAGATGAAGTCGTAAACAATTAGACAGGTGAAGATACTACGCAAGCCATTACGAAAGCCGTGAAGGATGCTTTAATAACGTGGTGCTTATGTGCAGAACACGGTTCTAGAAACTTCTTAATCGATGATAAACTAGCTAGCGATGGGACATCAATCTCGGACGCAATTCCCGTCTATAAGAGAAATATAGACTTCCTGAAAAGAGTTCTGTGCATATGAAACTCTAAAATGCTAAGCTTATCGTACGATAGATGGCCGTGGCCTTCGAAGATTTCCCTAAAATAGAGAGATTGGGCAGGTGGTGGACCCAGATAAGGTTTCTGTCCCATATTATGCATTGGAATAGAAACCTTATCTAGGTCCACAACTTATTTCATTTATCAAGGTTCGAAAGTTATTCATCCATATTCACATCAATGAGCCTAAGTAGGTACAGAAAAGGCACATACAATATGCAAACGCGCGGAAAATCAAGCCCAGCGCCAGTCAGTGTGTGTAGGTTGAAACGTCCAAAGTTTTCTAGTCGAAATCAGTGAACTATTTGTTTTTGGAGGCGAGCTTTTGGTTATGGCAAGGTAACGATCCCTGTCATATTACTACCATTAATTAAAGATCAAATCAAGATGGAGATATAAGTGATGGAGAAGTAACACTGAAACCCCTTTTTGTACCTGTAGAATTAAAGTAGTCGTTGAATCTTCCTTTGAAATAATCAACAGGGGGTGATAACACAAAAGCTTCCGACAGAGGCTTCCATGATCTGCTAGTTTGAACTTCATGAATAGTTATGAAAACATATATGCTATGGTTAATTTGTTCGTTTTTGGCTTTTCTACTCTCAGTTATGTACTCCAGTTGCCCTGATCTGGTAGGTAGAAAAGAAGAGAATATATTAGACCCAAAATCATTTCTTAGTATCCTGTACATCAAAATCAGACCACCTATCAATCTGCGGTAGGACAGAGTAATGAGATCTAGCTTTTAAAGCAGCTCATTACATGACAAACACTGGTCCTGAAATCGTACATGTAGCTTCGCTCTTTACTTGAGTCACTCTTCAAGTAAAAGCTTGCAGTCTGAACGAAGTTCCCAAGCTTAGTTCTTACTTACTTTTTATATACTGTAGTGAACATGTTAGTACCAAACTTGGTGAATTTTCGTGTTAGGGAACATAGTGTTTGGAACCCTTTAGCTGTAACCTCCTGGAAGTGGACCGCGATTTTAGGATCACGACCCACTGTCATCACAAGACCCTTGTGGGACCGAATCACGGATACAGGCACTCCCCCCATGCTGTGTCTATTCATCTTCGTATCCCCAAAGTGCATGTAGACATGTAGAATTATGGTCTATTATGATATATGTACTGCTCTAATAATAGACCTAATACTAATATTGTAGATTTGCCATGATATAATTGCCTGATCTATAAGATATCACGTGGAAGTCACATCATCTTTTACACCAACTAACTGTATCGTAACAACTACTAACGTATGATGGAGAACATATTAAGGCTGGAGATGGGACAATATATTTAATATGAGTAACAGGGAGTTGTACAGAGCGACCATGCATGAAATGTTGAGCCATGCTATCTGATCAGTTCTAACTCTTTCAATTCCTTGTCCCCGCCTTCGCCATCGTTGGGTTTTTCACCTCGTTAAATGTTGAATGTCTCCTGTTCAGCTTTGAGGATTGCGTGTCACTACAGACTTGTGCAAGCTAAACCTTTCCGGAAACCATGTTTTCCGCTTTTTAACAACTTGTTGGCTTTTACGAATGATATCGATATTTTGGCTATTCTTCCCAGTACTTTAGCTACGACACTGGTGAGTCTGACAGGTGTGTAGTTTAGTGGGAGTTGTCTTGATCCTGTTTTATGTATTAGAGTGACGATTGTATCCATCCCGTACATAAACAACTCACCTTGGCCAAGTAACATATTGAACAAGCAGTAAACGTTGCAGCGATACATAGTGCAATTTGTCTCAAGTTTTTAGGGTGTAGTTCATCCGCTCCTGTTGATTTTTCTGTGCCTAAGCTGTTAAAGGCCTTAAGTACATCGTCCTGATAAAAGTTTACAGTGAGCAGACGATTTTTTGACTTTATAGTTGGGTCTAATGTTTCGTCTAGAATAGGTTGATGAGTGAAATTTGTCCCAATATAGTTTGTCATAGCCTCTGATTTTTCCTGACACTTTTTGTTATTTCAGATCTCCAAGATAATGAAGAGAGATGAGGAGTTTTGTAGTTTATGTATTGGACCTTACCTCCACAGACGGATAATGTCAGTCAAATGACTTTCCTATCACCTTTAGGATGAAGTGATCAGGCAGTCATCTTATTCAAGTTCATGTCGTAGATGGCCTGTCAAATAGTTATGACGGTTCGTTCTAACACATGGAAGGCAGACATGAAGGCACTCATCTCCACAGCGTAGACTGAAAACTGGATAACTGAATCACGTCAACAGTAGAAGAGGCACGGACTCATTCCCGACAGTTATACAACCAAGTAATTTGACCATTTATACACCGGACAGTCTCAAAAAAGAAAAGGTACGGCCAGCCCTGGATAAACCAAGATTAAGACAATAGAAAAAATCTCAGTGCAGGTCATATCCAGTGAGATCTCTAATGTGCTGGAATAAAGTTAGGGTGACTGAGGTTTCTAATGATTTGTAACCAAACTACATCATTAATGACCCTACTTTTAAGTTTCTACAATTTATAAACGGTGGATTAAAGTCGCCTATCATAAGCCTTTTACTCCTTTCACACCTGGACTTAAGTTTGTCCCGTAGAAAATCATCTACCACACATTCTGGACTGCAGTAAACCACAACTAATTCAATATCTCGTCGTTAACATTTCAGCCTGAAGAGAACCAGCTCACATGTCTCTAAGTCGTATGCCATTGTCTCGACGACCCGCATAGTTAGGGCAATTTTCATGTATAAGACAACCCTACAATCCCTACGGTTTATATTATCAGCCCTATAAGGCATGAAACCAAGAAATTGGATTTCACTACATATACTTCTGATGTTAACTATGTTTCTGAGATGGCAATGACATAGGGGATTTGTGACCACACCTGTTTTGAACTTTTTCATCTTATTATGTAAGCTGCGAGCATTTGCATAGTACACCTTACGTTCTGTGAAAACCCCTCTCTTACCACTCAGAATGGTTTGAGTATCGTTTTACCTCGAACTGTGGAAACGCATGAAGATCTAATACAATGATTTTTTACTTGAGCCATGAAATCGTTTAGTGATTTCAGAAAGAGAAAAACAAAATGTTTTTCAAGGCTTTATAGCTGATAGACACTGAATATGATATTGAGCCTTGAGGAACATTTATTCTAGAGATCAGATTTTGTTGTTCACTTTATGCTGTTCTCTTTTTGTTGTTTCTCTTTCTGCACCTGTGACTAAGACAAGGAGTTATTGTCACAAAAATGTATGCAGGAAGAAATCTGGTAAAGGAGAACACGTACACGCATAAAAATATAAAGCCATATGCGAAAAATCGCTTAAAACGCCCAGAAAATAATTAAGGCTTTCTCAGCAAATCTATGCTTGACATTGTATTAGCTACCAAGCGAACGACGATTAATTAGGAGGGTATAAAGCCCAATAGGTGCTATTCAAAGTGCGTGGGATATTGTGAGAATGTAGTGGTTATAAATAAAGCGATGAATAGTTAGGCAAAACCAATGGCAGTTCATCAATATGTGTATTAAATCGGATCAGTATCGATTAGCTCACAAACGTCACGTCGTTAGGGAGTTTTTTGTTCTTTGCAATCACTACTTTTGAGTAAGGTTCCCTAGCACAGGACAAAATAAGAGACCTGAGTTTATCATTTAAATTTTGGTCGATCGGTGAAGTAGAATGAGTCCCGTTTACTTAAGTGCGTTTGTTGATCATGAGTGAATGTTTTGGCTAGGTATTGTTAACCACCTCCACGTCTGAATGAAAATGTCGCTCACGTGCTTGGCTATTAATTTTTGTGGCATCACTGTAGCCGTGATCTGATGTAGGATAAAAGAGCTGAATAAAAATTACCGCCCTTGTCCAGTGTTGAAACACGAATGGCTGACAAATTGCGTTTGTTTTTCCCAAGTTCAAATTATTACAGGGTAAAATCCGACTTATTTGAAATAGAGCGACTATACGTTGTATGATTTGGGAAAGCTTACATTACGCAAAAATAGCTAACGTGATTTTGTACGCTATCAGCCAAGCATTTCCTTATTCGATGGTGATAACAGAATGCTGCCTACATGACTATCAGGGAGAGCATAAGGTGCAATCATAAGGAGTACAACTACCAATTCACGTCTATGACAATCGAGTGACATTTCGGCAATACTGTGGCAAATTTGAGGATGAACTTTTTGGTTTGCAGGAAATTTTATTTACTGCTCACTCTGATGACTTTTGCAAATGATTGTATCGCTGGATCACTGGTAAGATTGACAAGATTCTGAGCCGTTTACTAAATGAGGAACTGCTAGAAAAACATACCGAGATTGTCTATTTTAGATAATAATGTATTCCTGCAAGGGCAGGAAAACACCACTTTTACAGGAGTGATCTACAAATTACAACATTTATTGGCTCACAGTATACTTTACAAGTAGGGTCGTTATTTAGATAAAATCAATAAAATTGATTAACAGTACATTCGTGCAGATGACTTGGACCGTCAATGATTAGATTTATGATTTAGTATTACACCGAGTACTGTCTCCAAAATATTTTCCAAAGTGGTGTCGCGTGCACGTTACACACCAGATCCAGTCTCGGCACCATCGGGTTAGAAATCTGGTCGTGCTAAGTATTTATGTAATGTAACGTTTTAGGTTTATAATTGTTTTATAGTAGATTTGTAGAGAGCTTGCTGTGAACTATGACGTTGAGAAAACGCTTACGTCAAATGTAACGGAAAGAGAACGATGAGAATCCCTCCTCTGCCTTTTTGTTTGACAGTACTGTTATTTATTTGTTTCTTATCCCTGTTGTGTATTTTAACCTCTGTTTAGATCTCGTTTAACCACAGTTTTGTCCTGCAGTCTTCCCCATCCGAGCTTTTATAATGTGATTTCGTGTTGCCGGACTATTGACAATAAGTCTGTGTTAAACTAAGCTCAAGGTCGCGGCCTTGTTCAGTGCATGGCTGTTAACCTTATGACCGTCTGCTTGAGAGGGTTGCTGGAATCCCCGCAGACAGATATGTGATCCCATCTCGTTGGAAATATTTCTATTGATTCTCAGGCATCGAACCCTTTGGTATTTACTGCTACTTTTACTTTTTAGCGCGCCACTTTGCGTTAAGGAAACTTCTGACTGTATAGCACAGGTTGTACCACTTGAGTTATTCTGTATTTTTGATATGATTTGTTCTATTTCCTAAATAAGAACCGTTTGAATTGAGCGCAGCGTTTGTTTCAATATAATTAAATACGAGTATCTCAAAAACGCTTTATATGCTATACAGAAGAACGTTGTCTGGCCTTTTCGAATAAATTTTGGTTCGTCAGTCTCGCGTTCATACCGAATACCGGAAGTTCAGTCGTTACATCAAGTTTGTTCCAGACGTCATCAGTTCCATAGCTGTGCCCTCAGAGCAAGATTTAGAAAAAGAGAAAAGAGGAGTGGCAAGGCACTTGCTTAACATTTTGTAATGGGACAGATAGAGGTATGATAAATGATTAGATTAAATTCATATTTGCTCTAGTTGCTAGAGTGAAATGCGATCAGAGCTTCCAGATGCGAGGTTGCAGTAATAGAGAACAATGAGTAGTGATATTTACCAGGGTGGAGTAAGTTCAAGTGAAGGAAGGGAGGTCAAGATTGGAGCAATGAACGCTGTTTATTAGAACGGAAAGTGCATATAGAGAGTAATGTGTTAAGAAAAACTAGTAACTATATCTTTTAAAGTCTGATTTTTTAGTTTTTTTTCATCCGATGCCAACCACATAGTCTTAATGCAAAAGTCCGAGTTAGCATGTTGTAATTTGTCTTAACAGAATAGCTAATCCAGCATAACAATTAAAACATAGGTGTGAATGGTGAGAGTTGGAGAACTACCCCAATATCACAGACTGATTGACTTGTTCTTAATCGTAAGTAGCCTGATACAACCAAAAGGTTCTGCCCCACAAAGATGGGTGGATTGGAATCATCGCGCCCACCATCAATGCTTTCTGGCCAGTAAGTCCAACATCCTCCTTTTGTGAAGTTGGCCTCACTTAAGCTTATTTTTGGATATATATCATACCTCACACAATCCTCTGTGTTTCACGCGGAAACGTATAGAAATAAATGGGTTATTGATAAGATGACGTGTAAAATTAAAATTAGTGGTAGATCAACACAGTGTACAGGAGAGTAAAAAGCTGATGAAGAATAGACAAGAAGGATCTCACATTAACTGTGTGCTGATGTTATTTTGTGCTATGCTAACCGGTTGATGGGCAACAGGATCCGTAAATGCAAGACCGCTGGTAGCAGGCAGTTCTCTTGACTTTTTAGAGTAGTAGTGAGCGTCCCACAGCGGCCGAGTTTACTTGGGCAGTATGGATAGACTCAGTGAAATACCTGTCTACTTCAAGTGAAAAATTAGGGAGGAAGATGTATCTACCACAACTGCAAAGTAGGAAAATAAGATGAACTGAAGTTGGAGTCCAGTTTGGTTTCTACGTGTAGAGAGCCTATGATGTCTGAGTGGGACACAGATGTGTTCGTTCGTGCAAGATCAGTGCAAGTGAGTGCTTGATCAAGAAGTCATTAAAACGTATGTAGTCCATCTGCCATGCATATTTCAGAGAGAAGACTGTTCCATTTTAATGCATAGTTGATGATGAAGAAGCTTTCTAGAGCTTATGATTGGTATTTCTCAACTTTGACCGTTAATATTTTATCTCGAAGTTC